AACCATTGTTGAACCACCAACATCATGTCAAACCATCATCATCAGGCTACAGTAGCCACCAAAGCACCAACATCTGGTTTAGATCGAGCCACCATTGCCGCCACTACCCCCATGCTGGACCATCATCATCGGGTTTCTATTGTTATCAGAACACTGACACTCAATCGATGTCAATCCATTTCTGGCTTCATCAGGCCGCCATCATCGAATCATTATTGCCATCAAAACCACTACGGGCCCTAAGTGAATGCTCAAACCATCATCTTAGAGCTACCTTAGATCCCCATCACTGGAACACTTCTATTATCATTGAACCATCATCTTCTAACTGCTGCTATGCTAGAACAATGATGCTTGACAGACATCAATGTTATGGTACATTGTCATCATAATTAGATTATCATATCCTGATTGACGCTATACCAGATCATAGTTACCCAACCACCACCATTATTATGAAACACTATCGTTATTGGCAAATAATCATCAACACACTAATATAACCTAGTTAGGTTGTCACCATAACTAGGTCATTGTTGCCCAACTGACATCACTGATATCACCGAATCATTGTCGTTCGATCACCACTAATAGATTGTTGTCGCACGTTCTCCTGGCTACCACCACTATCAAACCACTATCGCCTATCTAATGTTGTTGGACTCCAACATAGTCATGAGATTGTCATCATCTAACAAAAGATATTGCTGCCACCACTGCTTTTATTTCGGGATCACCTTCTTCCAATTATTGTCCCCACCAAACCGTTTTCACCGGACTTACGTCGCTAGACCACATCTATTTTTGTTGGACCACAATTGCCTTGTCAAACCACGTTGTCGTCGCCATCGTGAGGCCACTATCATCGAAACATTGATCCTAGGACACCGCAACGCCGCAGTCACCGAACCATTAACGTCAAACCACCACTGTCATGCATGGACACCTCGTCGGGTTGTTGCCGCTACCGACACCCAAAACTGTCGCGGTTGTATTATATCATCACTATTTCAGTATAAAATTGTTGTTGTATAATGTCGCCATCATCGGATCTTCTCTGATTCGTCGCTATGCCTATTATCTATCATCTGATCACCACTCCAGTGGGCCACTATCATTGGATCATTGTTGTTCTGCCACCGTTGTTGTCAAACTGCTAGTGTCAGATCACTGTCGCCCAACCATCACTATTAATGTTGCTAGATCATTGTTGCCTAGCCACCATCACCTGTGGTGATAATAAATCTAGTCACATAACCCTTGTTATCGTTCTTCCATCGACCCAGTTAGGTTGTTATCAGTACTTCAATATTTTCTTTCATTCTTGCAATATTAGTACTTGTTGTTCAAGAAGAGACAAATTCTTGTAACACATTTGTGAATAATACAACTATTTCAACACTATTAGGCCTAAAGTTATCACTTTATGGATTTTTTAAAAAAACATAAGAAATGAAATATATCCTAATATTTTCTCTATAAATTAATCACATGACAAGCAAAATAAGAAAAGATTAGTGATTAAACATAGATTTATCCATTTCTATTAAGATTCCTTTTCCCACATTCAATTCCATTAAGAGCAATTGGGTGCTCAAAAACTATAATTAATTCGCCCAACAGTATTATTATTATTATGAGCCGCTACTTTTTCACACCTTCCTCATCTTCTCCATCTCCGAATCACCATTGCCGCTCTCTCTTCTTCACCAAAACCCTCATCTGAAACCCTAAATTGAACCCCCAATGACCACATTCACTCCCTCTCCCACTCCCATTTTCGTCCTAACCCTATTTCTCACCCTAATTTCTTTCTCAGGTACTTTCCTTCTTCTCTCCGCTCACTCTTTCACCTCAATTGAGGCTCATTTTCCTTATTTCCTGCAGATCGGAGAGTGAACAGCGCGACATTCACTTTGGTGAACAACTGCGGCGACACGATTTGGCCCGGAGTGCTCTCCAATTCGGGCAGCCCTTTGCTGGAACCCACTGGCTTCTCCCTCCCCGCCGGCACATCGAGCTCCCTCTCCGCCCCCACCGGATGGTCCGGCCGCATCTGGGCACGCACTGATTGTTTCTCCGACGGCTCCGGCCGCCTCACCTGCGCCACGGGGGACTGCGGTTCCGGTTCTCTAGAATGCAATGGTGCGGCCGCGTCTCCTCCAACTACCCTAGCCGAATTCACCCTCTCCTCCGCCGGCGGGAACGATTTCTACGACGTGAGCCTCGTGGATGGATATAATCTTCCTGTTGTTGTAGCGAATAGCGGCGGGGTGGGGGGCTGCGAGATCACTGGATGTGCTGTGGATCTGAATCCATTGTGTCCGCTGGAGCTGAGGGTGGGGGAAGGAGAAGCATGTCGCAGCGCTTGTGAGGCGTTTGGGCAGCCGGAATACTGTTGTAGTGGTGAGTTTGGGAGCCCGGACGCTTGCCGTCCGACCGTTTACTCGGAGATGTTCAAGTCGGCTTGTCCGAGGGCTTATAGCTACGCTTATGATGACGCAACTTCTACCTTCACCTGTGCCGGAGGGGATTACTCCATTACTTTCTGCCCTGAAACAACGCAGAGGTAGGTGCCGCCGCAGACAAGTAAAACACAGTAGAATAGGGATTGATTAAAAGTTTGATTTGTTGATTCTAGATCTAGTTAGGGCTGATAAGAAAACGCCAAAATTGAAAATCTGGATCTGAAGTTTTGGTTGGATCACCATTTTTTATTTTGTGTAGAGTAGAAGGAGCTCAGAGTTTTCATGAATATGG